TTAGTGGCACACAGGAACTGGAAGATTGTGGCTATCAGTGTAGCAGTGCTATCACTGTGGTCAGATTCCATTGTGGTCTATCAATTATACCAAATGCATACTTACATTGGTCCAAGTTGGACCAATGTAAACAATTAAGACCAAAGCAGGAGTTTTGCTTTAAGTATAGTTTCAAAGTAATATACCACATATGTACAAATTACTCAGCCTTTATTCTCTTGTAGGGTAGGTAGGCACAAATGTTGCCTGTCGTAGTTCCTCTAGTTGGCCACTAAATACCTGGCTTATGGGTGAGATTCGGCTTAGAATTTGCTTGGGTTATGCGCCAGGAGAGAGGCACCTTGGGTAAGGGTATATTGAGAAGGTGAAACTGTCAAATAGTTACAAGGAAAGTGAATTATGGGCTTTCCCTATGGGCACAATAGTATGGACTAGCATGTAGGCAGGGAGCCTATATCATTAGCTTGAAGATATGAAGAGATTGGTTCCCCAAATGGGGATGAATGACTCTGGTACATCGCTCATTTTGGGTTATGCGCCAGGAGAGAGGAACCTTGGGTAAGGTTATATTGAGAAGGTGTAAACTGTCAAATAGTTGTTACAAGGAAAGTGAATTATAGGTTTTCCCTATGGGCACAATAGTACGGACTAGCATGTAGGCAGGGAGCCTATATCATTAGCTTGAAGATATGAAGAGATTGGTTCCCCAAATGGGGATGGTTGACTCTGGTACATCGCTCATTTTGGGTTATGCACCAGGAGAGAGGCACCTTGGGCAAGGTTAAATTGAGAAGGTGTAAAACCATCAAATAGTTGTCACAAGGAGAGTGAATTATGGGTTTTCCCTATGGGCACAATAGTACGGACCAGCATGTAGGCAGGGAGCCTATATTATTAGCTTGAAGATATGAAGAGATTGGTTCCTCAAATGGGGATGATTGACTCTGGGACATTGCTCATTTAGGTATGAGCCTCTCATTTTGTCTCTGCTCTCTGTTATCTCTTATTTTATAGCTACTTGCTTGACTGGAATTGTAAACTGTATATCACCACACTTATGGGGGGTTAACCTGTACCTTGCACTTATCAATTCAGTAAACCTTTGCAAAAAGACTTGTATGTACTTCTCCTTCCTGTAACCTCTATGAGAATATCCCTATAGGAAATGGCCTTATGAATTGAGGCCACTGAGGGGTCCATTTGCCAGATAAGCCTGGAATGGGTAGACCAGACCACACTGGCTTCTCCTGTAAGTGTTCTCCTGAGTACTGGGTTTCTTGGGGCCCTATACCATTGCTCAGTCCCAATTTCATGATTTTTTATGCACTGTATTACACTGCATCAAGTTATTATTATTTTTGTGTTTACATCTTGTGGCAGCTTTTGGTCACTACAACTTGCTTAGTATGTCATTCATTTAGTCATAGCTATACCTTCCCTGTTTCTTCATTGTTTGGACATTCAGTGCTAGTTATTCACAGAGACAGGGCTTAGGAAAGTCATTGTCTCCTAACACTTCCAAAAACTGGAAACACATCCTCTGTACTGCAATTTGAAAAAGTAATATTGCATTGGATTCAGCTTCTGTGTCTTATTGATGAGCTAAGGTGCCTGTGGATGTTTCCATTTCAGCAGATGACCATACTGTGCTGAAAACTGGGTCTAAGAATGTATGCCAATGCGTAATGCGCCACTTGAAACAGAACACTCATATTACTCAAGGGAATCACCCAAGGGCCGATGGAAGAGATTAACGAGTGGGCGTGTTTCCCCGGTTCACAACACTGTTTCTTGATATAACCTCTATATAATGTTTTTTTTAATGCATATGATGTTATTGCTTGTGGCAGTGGGCATCAAGGAGTATGACCTGACCTTCAAGGGTCTATTTATATTACACGTTTTGTTACCATTTTAATAATAATTTGCTCATCACTTCAACAATCCCATTTATTCAGGCAGCCATTGTTTTCCTTTCATTTCTGATTGCTATTAATGCATATTCTTTTGTCACAGCGTCTCATTTTCATTGTGTTGGAGAAGACAAAAAAGAAAACACGGTCCAATCTCCTGCAAGTGATCAATCACTTAGCTGTTCAGTTATATGACTCGACACATCACTTAACCAGGCTTCCACATCTATTCCTCCTTTCCAATTAGGAGCGTGAAAGAGACTAGCTGAATACTGTCTAACAATGCAACACAGATCATTTCAAGGAACAGAGCGGCTTCAGAGCAGTGAAATCTGCTCCAGACAGCTAAAATATACATACAGCCCGAATGCATGGTAATCGGTGGAGAAATAAAGAGAGATGTTTAATTGGAGCAAAATCCATGATTATTCAAAAACTCAAATGTAATTGTTCAACTTGAAGTGACCCGTCAAGCTAAAATGAAGAAACTTGCTGGTTAATACAACTTCATCTTTTTTTTTCAGATTTAGCTTTTGCCTTTTTTGCCACAAGCCATCTTCTGTTGATAAATGCCCTTTGATTTTAGTCTGCAAACGTTCTATCAGAAGAATGTGGCTCAACCGCTGTTTTTTCCACTAGACATGTAGGTTTCATTTTGTTATGATTAATTTTTCGGGTGAAAATTTCAATTTCACAGATTCAAATGTATACAAATCTCAGAATGGTCATAGTAACCAATGTCAATGAATCTAAAAAAAAAAGTGCATGTTTCCTTCATTTCCTTTGAAAGGCATGATGCAATAGTAGTTTGGGCCCATGGGGAAATTAAATCATTTTTTTAATTTATTTGATAACTCAGATTTGGATAACGAATGGATCCAAATTTCATTCCATTCGTTAATTCAGATGCGCATGATGCAGTTCGATGTTCAATCAGCTTGTGCAATTTTTCTTGGTGGGTTAGACTAGCATCTGAAAATATTGAATCCTTCCAATCCAATTCTGCTTGATTCGATAATATATAGAATATATAGCAGTCTTCTGGAAAAACTGCAAACTTTTTCAAATCAACCTGGACCAACTATATACTATATATGAAATGAATGCTGATAATACGAAATGAATTGCAAAAACAAATTGGTTTAACATAAAGAATACGATGAAAAACAAAATTCTTCAATGAACAAAGGCACATAAAATGAAACAAAAATGTGTGTACACATCTATTTTCCACCCCTCAACCACCAGTGTGAGCAAAAACTGTCATTGAGTATTTGCACACTTGACTTTTGCAAAAATAATGATTTATGAGGGATTTGAATATTCAGCTACTTTTTTTTTTACTTACTTTTGGTTGAATGGGGAACAAGAAGATAATCTGGTTGGGTTCTGCAGCTGTCTGTACATCCTTTGGGGAGATGTTCCCCTCATTTCCCGTACTGGTGATAGTTAGGACACTGATGACATCCCTTTTTTTTTCTTCCTCTGCTATGGTGCGTTTTATCTTCATATACCCTCAGAGAATACACTAGGGACAACAATGTCACCAATAAACTTTGCCCTGAATGTTGTGTTCATACACATACAAGGTCATACTGCCCCAATACGTATCTTTATGCAGAAACTCTTGGCATTGTCCCTAATCTCATTGGGACCACTAGGCTGAAAATAAGCTGAAAAAAAATCTCCCTCCACAATATCAGGATCAGCAGGTCAAGCAATAGAACACACACATCTAATGTTCAAGGACAGATGATGAGCTAACCCTACTCTCTGGCCTAGCAGCTATTTCACAAATAATATTTTTCAAAAGGCTTGATTTTGATGAGTCTGTCATCTCTGATTTACTTTAAGCATAGAAGTGTGATTGTGGACTGAGGGATTGGTTCTTAATAAAGAAAAGCTGTATAACATCTATTAACACCCAATCACAGACAACATAGAAGGTAACCAATCATTGGTTCTAATCTAAGCCCTAGTTGTTTTTAGATTTTAGCTACAGATGTCAACGATTACTTCGGAGGGAACTTAATAAGTCTAGAGCAGACTAAATCTGAAATCTTTTATCTTCAGCTTTTTTAGCTAATTTTTGAAAATGAAACATACCATAGAAGCTGATTGGTTGGCATGTACAACTGCTCCAGATTCTGGCTGCTCAAGTTTGAAAATCCCCCTCATTGCATGATATTTCTCCATCTTTTGATACTTCCCTTTTTTCCAGCTTCAACAAGTCCCATGTTTGCTGCCCTCACCCTCCTTTTTTGGGTCTCTCCTTTGCCTTTCAGGGTTCTAAGGAGTTCCACCATAGCCACCCATTTATGCAGTCTCCCATGAGAAGAGAATGGCCTGACATAAAGATTCTGCCTGTGCCTACATGAACAGGGAGCCCAAGAGGACAACATACAGAAGACACACCTCTGCTCCTCCAGCATGGGAAATCTCTAGGTCATCTCCTTTTGAGGTGGAGCAGAGGCATGTTTTGTGTGTGTAGCCTTGGTGGCCTGTGCAGGGGCAGACTGACAACTCATGGGGCCCCCGGGCAATAGGGATCATGGGGCCCCTGTGTCCTTGCCCACACTCAAAAAAGCCTATGAAAAAGGTACCAGGGGCATCTCATGGGGCCCCCTACTGACCCCCGGGCCCTCGGGCAGTGCCCGAGTTTCCAAATGGTCAGTCTGCCCCTGGGCCTGTGCATGTTGGTGCAAGCAGCATCCTCACATTAGCCAAATTTTATGAATGAAGGGACTTGAATGCCCACTGGTGCTAAGAATGATGGAATACACAATACTAAAAGTATAATCAGATGACCAGGGATAAGGTTAATGAGTGCTTTTTCTACAACTAGACGTTTGGCCTAGCAATGTAGAGGAAGCAGAAGAATGTGGCTAAAAATAGCTAAAAATTTAGTTTAAGAATTTTAGAAAAAAAGGGACTTCAAAAGAAGAGCAGTCCCTCCAAATGAGGGGCAATTGGGAGCTATAGCTTAGGTGATTGGACTACAAAGGCTAAGATGTTTTGCTATATCTGGATCTGCTGAAAGGGGTAGTAAAGAGTGTTAAAAAAAAAAAAAACCTTACCCCTGCAAGTTAACCTCCCTGGCGGTATTCCCGAGTGTAGCTCGGGGTAAAGTTTCAGTACCACAAGTGGTAACCCCGAGCTACACTCAGGAATACTATGCGGCGCTGCTCCATGATCCCTCGATCACTTACCTTGACTTACCTTGTCCTGCTCTCCCACGATGTCCCTCCTGCAGTGTCCCCGGCAATGTAATCCGATGGATGCCGGCATCTGTCTTCTGGGTTCCGTTTCCTGCGACGTTGGGACGTACGGGGGACGGAACGGCGGGAAATCCAAAAATGACAAAAAGTGACATTCGCTAAAATCACTAAAATCACATAGTAAAACATTACTGTATCAAACCATTTCACATACATTTTGTCCCAAGTGCTTTGTCCTGTGCCCTGCCTGCATTTTTACTGTTCTTTCTGCCTGGAAACTGGGAAAAGTCCACGGCGTCCAAAAAGCGTCCGTTTAGGTCAAAAGTGGTTTTAGACCAGCTAGAGAACAGCGATAGTAAATCAGAACCACTTGCAGAATTGAGTGATAATGATTTGTGGGGGAAATTCGTCATCAGACACTGAAAACGATTCTGCGACTTTGCTCAGTGATGTGCGAACTTGGCGCTATATTTCAACTTTCAGTAAATTTGGTTTGATTATATTATTGAATTAAATTAATTATTATTATATTATTATTTTTATGATTATTTATTAAATTATAATTTATGATTTTGTGTTTCAAATTTTAGCATACCCGGGATGTTTACTAGACTCTTGCTCGGACAGATTTCAGTGAGTTATTCCTAAAAATTACAGGCCTACAATAAAAAAAATACATATTTCCATGCAAAAAACTGGTACAGCTTTCAGCACCAAAAATCTGAAATAATCATACCGCCAGGGAGGTTAACAGTGTAATATGCTTTTATGCATTTCATACCCTAAAACAGATCCCTCCAGCGGCATGCTGTCACCACTGTCAGGGTTTCCATCTTCATCCAGTCTTCCTTCCAGGTTTGCAGGCTCCAGCCATTTGAATGATGATGTCACTCCTGTACATGTGCACAAGAGCCATGATCACGGCACACAGTGCTCTGAAGGGACGCCATGCTTTGTATGCTGTACATTCAGAGCACAGTGCACATACGCCAGTGATATCACTAGCTGCACAAATAGTGACTATTTCTGAAACAGCTTTATTATAACCTTTCTTGTAGATACAAGTCACAAAGTGGTGTTTACTACAGCTTTAACTCTCCTTGCTTAACCAGTTGCCTACCGGGTACTTTCACCCCCTTCCTGCCTAGGCCAATTTTCAGCTTTCAGCGCTGATGCACTTTGAATCACAATTGTGTGGTCATTCAACACTGTACTCAAACAAAATTTTTAGAATTTTTTATTAGATAAAAAAGAACTTTATTTTGGTAGTATTTATTCACCACTGGAGTTTTTTTATTTTTTGCTAAACAAATGAAAAAAGATCAAAAATTTTGAAAGAAACAAAGGTTTTCCTTACTTTCTGTTATAAAGTTTTGTAAATAAGTGATTTTTTTTCTTTCACTGAGTTGCTGCACTGATGGGCACTGATAGGCTGCAATGATGAGCACTGAAAGGCTGTACTGATGGGCACTGATGAGGTGGCCCTGATGGGCACTGATGAGGCTGCACTGATATGCGGCACTAATGGACACTGATAGTAGGTGGCACTAATCGGCACTGATAGACAGGACTGATGAGGAGGCACTGACAGGCATCACTGATGAGCAATGATAGTTAACACTGATGGACACCAATATCTAACACTGAAAGGGCACTGACAGGCATCTCTGATGGGCACTGAAAGGTGGCTACACTGATAATCAGGGCACTGATTATCAACGTAGATGTCCCTTGTATAGATCACTGCTTACCGCTTGATCTATCAGCATGAGGAGAGGACTGCCGATAACCGGCATTTCCTGTTTACGCTGTGATCAGCTATGATTGGACACAGCTGGTCACATGGTAATGGTCTGCTCTGATTGGCCCTTTACCTCTATCTATGATCAGTTGCATCCAAAGAACACAGCAATCACAGATCGCACCTTATGCGAGCCCGGGGGGCACGTGGGGGGGAGGTATGATTCTAGGAGGACGTCCATACACAACCTCCTAGGACTAGCCGACCATGCTGCAGCTGTCTTTTGGATATAGCACGGTCAGAAAGTGGTGAAACAAAATAATAGAATGGTAAATATTTTTTTTTATATATATATTTTTTTTTTAATTTTGGTAATTTATATATATATAGGGTTATAGTAAAGCATACTTTATACCTTACAAGAATTTTGCAACTGATATCTGAATAGATTAGTTATTCTAAATCAAGCCCTTGCTGACCTCTGTAACTGCAGGTACTGTGGTGCAATTTGTTTTAAAATCAAAAGTATTGTTTATTAGTGTTTAAGGCATACAAAGAACAGTACATAGAACCATATACAAAACAGTAAGAAAGAGCCATCCAATAATAAAAAGAACAAATGTAAGAAAAGAAAACTTCCAGTGTTACCAGTCATCCAACAAGCAAATAGAAAGAACAAAATTGTAGTGATATTATGCAACAAAGTTATATGTGAATCCCCACATATAGGGCAGCAGGGGTTCCTCTCTAGCAGTAGACCAGCATGCAATAGAGTATACGGATCTCCTTACTTCGTGATCTAAGTAAACCTGGGCAGATTGTAAAAAGGCAGCAGGCAGAATACATCATTAAAGGATAATTACAGCAACCTATGCATTATCAAATCAAGTGGGGCAAGACCCAAGTGGCCACTCATGCTTCCCAAAGTTTCTCAAATTTACCTGGGCACCCACGTTATTTGTAAATTAAATGATTGTATCATAAAATGGTTCCCATATTCTGTCTCCAATCCTCCATAGCCGGGGGAGTTTCTGATTTCCAACGCACAAGAATGACTTTGTGTCTGGAATTAGATTAGTTTGAAACACTAAATAAAGAGTGTTGACCGCTTCCTCCCAGTATTGATGAAGTTTCGGGCACCGCCATAGCATGTGAATAAGATCCCCATCGTCCATCTTACATCTACCACAAAGAGGGTCCTAACGTAGCCCCATCATATACAATTTAGCTGGTGTATAAAAAGCCGTAAGTACAATATACAATTTTGATATACGGTGAGAAACTGTCAGCGAGCTAAGATGGATAGCTTGCAATACAGCTTCCCATTTGTCTTTCTCATCTCGCTCCTACTGCCCACTAACTCTATTTAGGTATTTTTCTAAATAATCTGTCAGAAGCATACTATAGCAGAGAGAAATGAGCCCCTTAATAGCTGTGACTGAGTGCAAGTAGTTGAAAATAGGGGTGGGGGAGGAGTGCCATAAGGCTGATGGGCTTTGAGCGGTGACTGCATGTTTTAACTGTATGTAATAAAACAACATAGTGGATGGTAAATTATACCTGGACTTCAACGTATCGAAGGATATGAGTTGACCATTGTCAAATATATGCTTCAAATTAGTTATACCATAGGATTTCCACTTAGTGACATATTGTATCTTGGTTAGTTCTGTTAATGCCGCATTATGCCATACGGGACTATATATGTGGTGTGACCTGTAACCTGCTGAAGTTGCTTGACCTTGAACCAAATTGTATGTATTAGTCGGTAGGTAGGGAATGACTTACAAACTGACTGAGCCTCAAGACCTTCCGGTAAGGAACTAGAGGCTGTACAGTGTAACATTACTTGTAGAGTGGAGTCATCAGCTGGGGCAAAGGTGGTGTCTCCTTCAACTATACCTTTATACACATGTTGCAACTAGCTAGCCAGGTAATACAGCCAGGGATTGGGTAGAGCTATCCCTCCTCTATCCTTAGGATGCTGTAACTGTTCTATCCTTATCCTTGGTGGGTGGTTTTCCAAAAGCAAGGAGAGAAAAATAGTAATTATGACAGAGAAAGTGTCAGGGAATGGGAAGATCGCCGCAGCGATCGAATCTGCACATGCGTAGAATCCTGACAAAACGTACAGGCAGGCGGGCACTAGGTCCCAGGCCCGCCTGTTACAAATGACGGCGCTGGGCAAGCACTAGGACCCAGGAGTGCCTGCCAGGAGTCGGGCGGGCTATTTAAACCGGGCTCTTTCAATGCTCAAGTGCCGTATGGTCTTATTTGTGTTCCTGAGTTCCTGTGAGTAGATTGTTTGTTGCCGTCCCTGACTGATCCTGATTTGCTGTCCGTCTCCTGCTCTGATCCCTGGCTTTGTCTGACCATTCTCCTGCTTAACCCCATACGTTCTGACCTCCTGTTGACGAACCCGGCTTGTGACCTTTTTATCCCTCTGCCTGCTGATTCTGTACTACACCGCCACCACTGTTACCGACCCGACCTGCCCGACGCTGCTTCAGTTACCTCCTCACATCAGACTCTTACCCGCTATACATCTTCAACGGTGCCTCTACCACAGCTGGGTGAACCCAGGGGCTGCGACCTTGTCTCGGCCTGCTCCAAGTCCATCCCCACCATCAGGGGCTCTGGTGAACAAGCAGGTCGGAGCTTAGATTCCGCGCCTTGGGGGATTCCGGTCTGTGGAGTGCTAGAGGCTACCGCTGCAGGATCCCTGACAGAAGGTTTTCAGTGGAACCATTACTACGGCCAGAACTTAGACCACATCTTCACCTCGTCTTTAAAATGGGTCAGCAATGTGGTCTATATTTAATCGACAGTAGTCTAATAAGTTAGAACTAATTAGAATGCCCAAGTATTTAAAGGAGATCGTTATTAAAACCGGACAGACTGTGCTGCAATTTATTTCAAATTTTTTTTCGACAGAAGCACTTTTACTTTTAGCAGCTCAACTCATCCTACTCCCCCTCCTCAGCAGTTTGCTGAACACATGAACAGCCGATGTTCAAGTAAAACTTGACTCAACTCGAACATATAGCCCATCACTATTCAAGATGATAGAAAGAAAAAAGTAACTGCAATCAAGGTATGTAGAATACCATCTCTGAACGCACGACACGCTGAACCTTGAAGTAGATGGGCTACAGCAACAAAAGACCACATTGGGTGCCACTCCTGTCAGCTAAGAACAGGAAAAACAGAGGCTACAATTCACACAGGCTCACCAAAATTGGACAATATATGCAAGTTAGTGAGTGCAATCTGAAAAGTGACCAATGCATTAAAAGGAACCACAAAACCTTTCTAATAAAATCATAAAACAAGGAGTGCAGTGCTACATGAAATATTAAACCGAGTAAACCTTTTTCACAAAGATATAAGCAATAGAAATGAGTCCACTATGGTGTAAAAAATATGGATTCCTCAGTCCACAATGAGATTTCTGACACTGTAGGTATAATCCGAT